GGATGGGATGGGATGGGATGGGATGGGATGGGATGGGAGGAGAGGCTGGGTAATGGGCAGAGAATGTGCTGTGAAATAGAGCAAGATCACAAGAAGGCCTATCTGTAAGTGCTTTAAGATAAGGTGCAGAAGCAGACTGCAATGTCGCTAGTGCTGCCCTATGTACATATTCACAAGAATAAAAAATTCCAGCTAGTTCACATTATCTCGTCCATTCTGAGGCATCCACTCCGCCTTGCTGGCCTTGACCGCAGGCAGTGCAGCACCTCCACTGCCCTTGTTGGTCCTTGAACTTGAGCGGTAGCCCTGGGAGATCCAGCAGGCTCTGGAAACACACGTCTACCGAGGGGCTGAAGTCCTGAGTTAAAAAGCAGCTCCAGTACTGCAGTCGGACACAGCAATCCATGTTCTATTGTCAAGGCTTTTTCCCTTAGATTTGTCTAAAATAGGGGTCAGAGAGAAAAAAATAAAATACAAACAACAAACAAAGCCAAGAAACCCCAACAAGCACCGGGGAGAGTCAGAGGCTTAACAGCTCTTGACGCGGGCCTGGGTGATATCCGATGTTTTCTTGATGACGCTGGCCCGGGTCTCCCGGTCTGGCCGACTGCTGCTGGATGCTTGGGTCATGGAGGAAGAAAGAGGGAGGTCTTGAAAAGGGGGCCACGAGCTGTTGTAAGGCACCGGACGGCTCTCATCTTTGATGGTGACCTGGAGGTCCGGTTTGCTGGAAGTGACGAAGCTCGCCATCCCCGGCAGCTGGTAGGGGCCTCGAATCCCCATGTTGCTGAGGTACTGTTTGCCTTCAATATTCCTCTTCCGCCAGTGTGGCCGTCCCTTTAAAGAAAGTAGTTAAGTATTTCCTTCTCCTTCTACTGGATGGCTTTTTTAAAAATGCATCACTGGCCAGGTGTGGCTCATGCCTGTAATCCCAGCACTTTGGGAGGCTGAGGCTGGAGGATCACTTAAGCTCAGGAGTTTAAGACCAGCCTGGGCAATGTAGTGAGTCCTCAACTCTACAAAAAATAAGAATTAGCTAGGCATGGAAGTGCATTCCTATAGCCCCAGCCACTCGGGAAGCCAAGGCGGGAGGAACACTTGAGCCCAGGATGCCAAGGCTTCAGTGAGCTGTGATCGCACCACTGCACTCCAGCCTGGGCAACAGAATGAGCCCTTGTCTCAAAGCAACAACCCACAAATAAAATTGAAAAATTAAAAATGCACCACTGTTCCCATGTGTTGGTGCGTTAACTGAATTTTTTGAGAACTGCAGAATGAACAAAGGCTTAGCACCTCTATATCCCTCAACTGAACTCTATTACACCCAGCTAGTCATACTCCGAGTAATGGTTTTTCTTCCCTTGTGTTTTAAAAATCAATTCCCCTTTGCTACTTCCTAGAAACAGTATCCGGACTACTCTATAAAGGCAGGAAAAGGTGGCGGCAGCTTGGGTTCTGGTCCCCCTGCTCTCTGGCTGCTCGGCCCAGTCATTCAACAGGTTCCAGGCCACCACGGCCAGGGTGACACAGTGACTCTGTCCCTCAGTGCTGGCCCAATCAACCAGAGCCAACCTGCATCTTCAGAGAAAAGGCAGTGAGGAGCTTAGTGATAGGCAATGAATGCCCCTTGATCGCTTTCAGATCGCTTTCAGATCGCTTTCAGCTTAGAGCTCCACAGGGTGCAGCCATCAGCAGCCTCAAGGCTGGCTTCATTCAGAGAAGGGGCTAGAGCTGCGACCTCGAAGAAATCAGGCCAGGGTGCATGTGAGCGTGACATCTGTCTTTTCAGAATGCCTGCACTCTATCTCAAAGTGTTCAGTACATGGGAAACCACTGATCCAAAACCACGAGCTTCTCTCTCTCCTTCTCCCTCCCTCTCTCTCATTCACCCAAGCACAGACCCCCAGCAAGTGTCCAGCCCCAATGCTTTCCATCTCCATTCCAGCCACTTCCTGCCATTGTGCACACCCCATCTATGGGAGAAAGATGGGGAGGGGCCCACTCGGAATCAAGATGGGGCACAACCAGCTCTGGACATGGGTCACAGAGGGCGGGAACCCACACACACGTGGAAGAGGCTTTTGCTTAGCGTTTTCCGATATGTACTTCTGGTCACTGCTTTTGGCTGGGAAGGGTGTTCTGTTTTTGCCAGTGAAGTCGGATGTTTAAGTGGTAAGAGTATCAGCATTTCCTGGCCTCCACTGCCAGTCCCTTTTCCTGCCATCACAGCTTCTCTACCTGATGGTAACGTTTAACCCCCTTTCCTCCCATTCAGTTCCAACACTGAATTTTACAACCCCGGACCTAAAAGTATGGTAAATTTTAGGTGATGTGTATTTCGTCACACAAGAAAATTCCGAAGTGAGGCTTGTGATCTAAAGGAAAGGTCCGTGACCAGCAGCAAGGAAAGCCCAGAGCTGGTCTGGAGGCTTTTCCTCGGTAGCGTCTCAGGTGGGCAGGCGGGCGGGCAGGGTGGCAGCTTACCTCGGCACTCTCTTCGTCGCTGGGCACGCTGTCAGTTGTTTCACTTTCTGTTGGCAGAAAGAAAAGCACAGGGCCATCATTCCTGTCCATCGAGCTGCCCCAGCCTCGGGCAGTGTTTATAAAAAGCAGACTGAGTCACTAAAGGCATCACCTCTCTCCCTTTGTAAAGTCAAACATTCTACATGGGAGAAGCTAGAGTGAATGTCAACTCCGTAATCTTCAGAGAAAGCAGGCTTGAGAGCTACGAGGTGCCTCTCCTGGCCAGGGCTGGGCTGTGTCTACAACGGGCATTCCTCCCATGAGGGGATCCTGACCCCTGGTGCCCTCCTCACTGCAGCTCTGTCCACGATGCCCACACAGGTCCTCTCTTCCAACCCTGGCCAACCGATTCATTAAGTCCCAATGCAGAGTTGACTGTTTCTGAGAAGTTCTCCGTCATCCTCTCCCACTCAGATCCCTCCTTTACCTCTCACCCCTTTAGGACTTAGATCCTGGATTTCTAGAGTTGCATCTGCCACATAGGTTACTGCAGGTGGACAGGTCTGGGGTGCTCCCCACGATCCTCACCTCCTGGGGTTCACTTTCTTTGGGACTGCCTCCCTTGAGTGCGGGTGGAATGTATGTCTGCTTCTAACTAATAAGGTACAGCCAAGGGGATGGGGAAGGATGTGATCCTGTGTCCATGATCATGTTACGTGACACAGAAACCTGCTGGGAGAGGAAACGCTCTCCCTCACGAGCCTTACTGAAGCAAGCAGCCATGTTGGGAAGGCCCCTATAGCAAAGAACTAAGGACTGCTTCCAGCCAACAGCCAGCAAGAGACTGAGGCCCTTGGTCCAAAACCTGCAAGAAATGAAATTCTGCCAAAACCATGTGAGCTTGGAAATGAACCCTTCCCCAGTTGAGCCTCAGATGAGATAGCAGCCCTAGCCAACACCTCCGTGGCAGGTTTGCAAGACTCTGCAGCAGAGGACACAGCTAAGCCATACCTGGATTCTTGACTCACGGAAACTGTCAGATCCAAATGTGCGTTGTTTCAAGCCCCTAAGTCTGTGGCTGCACAGTTCCGGCAGCCAATCAGTTACCACCCCCATTTGGCCTGCCAGCTGTGAGACACTGGGCAAGTTTCTCAACTTTACTGAGCTACAGTTTTCTCCCCTGTAAAATGAGGGCATGGCCACCTGCTAAGAGGATTATGTGAAGAGGGAGTGAGAGGGTAAACGGAAAAGGCCTAGCAAGGGCCTGGCACACAGCACACACTCCATGTATCAGCACCACTTAACACTGGGTTTGCACAACAGGCTGGACTAATGGAATCAAAGTCTAGTGATTACACATGACCTATGCTAAAAAAAGGCTTTTAAAAGTAAAACCATTTTGATTTTGTAAAATAAAATGTCAACGGTGTGCAACATTTTCATTGCCCATAACCCCTGAGAAATGAAATCACCGAGGACACAGCTTGTGCAATATTTAAGCATTTAGAGATCACTTAGCTTGAGCCCTTCATTTTACAGACAAGGCCTAAGGAGTAACTGCAATAGCTTCTCTTCCTGGTGGAAACATTCAACTGCCTTTCCTCCCATTCAGTTCCAATGCTGAATTTTATAACCCATACCCAAAAGTATGGTAAATTTCAGGTAATGTATATTTCACAACACAGGAGAATCCAAAAGCGAAGCTCGTGTTCTAAAGGTAGTGAACATTTAGGGAGCCCTCTGGGTCAGTGCCATGCCAGAGGCTTTGCATGCAGGTCTCACAGGGATCCTGAGTCGGGAAGCAGCTGCTCTCACCCCCGTTATGCAGAAGAGCTCTTATGCTCTACTGCCTTCCAGCCTTCCACCCTGTCCTTGGTGACGGGCTGGCCTCTGTCTCATATCTTCCTGGTGGCAGAGCTGGGATGAGATGGGTCCAGCCCAGACAGAGCCCTTTCTTCCACTGACAGCATCAGCCCCAAACCAGGCTCTCTCAATTAAAAGCTAAAGAACAAGGGGACAAACTGTGCCACCAGTGCACTCCTTAAACAAAGACGGCAAGAATGCTGACTGCACTGGTCCCAGCCTGGAGTCTCTGTGCCTGCTTCTCAGCCACCGCTCTCCAGGGACTTCACACAGGCCTGGGTGTTTGCGGAGGGCTGACCATAAGCAGGTAGAAGACAGATCTCTCCGCTCCTCGGACTGGGCATGTTTCCCCAAAACATCCCACGCTGGGAACCTCAGAGGCCCAGAGAGGCCCTCAGCCTCGGCTGACGGTGATCCCAGCTATGAAGACGGGCTGTGATCTAAAGGAAATGTCATAACATTGCTGGGCACAGAATTGTTTCCACTCAGAAACGTATGAAAAACAACAGAAAAAGCAAATTTCCCTCCTCACAAAACCCTCGTGCTAGCTCAGTATCCCAAGGAGGCAGGAATCGGGACTGCCATGCCCAAGAAGAAAAAGGAGAAATAGAGATGTTGAGAAACTTGCCGAAGTTGCCAGCTGAGCCAGCACAGAGGAGAGAAAACGAAACTGTTCTTCTGATTCCAGGTCTGCGTACTGCACACAGCAGCTCTGCTTCCCTGCTGTTCCCGCCTCACAAAATTTCACGATCCGCTTTCCGCTTTATGCTTTGTGCTCCAAAGCCAAGGTCTCTCTTCCTTTCATACATGTTCAGGCGCCTTTCATTCCTAATCACATTACAGAAATATCATTGTCTTCTTTTCCTTTCCCCTCCAAATAACAAACAAAGAACCACCGCCAAGCATGCTTTGGGGGCTGCGATTCCAGCACAGCCCAAGTCTCAGGTGCAGGAGGGGCTGGAGGTCAGATCCTGGGGTAAGGCTCCCGGGTAAGACCTTGCATAGCCCATAAACGGGACCGGAATGCCAGCCTCCTTTCAGTACCCAGTTTTCAGCTTCAGGGAAATGGCTGCAGATAAGAAAAGATGCACATGCCCTGAACTTACGTGTTCAGCTGACACAAATGCAAGTTGAAGAGCGGCAGGTCGAAAGTTCCACAGCTCCTGAAGTAGTCAGGAAGACCCACCATAATGGGAAACTGACGGCTTTCAAAAGGGGCCTTGAGTACCTCAGCTTAGGGGCAGAGAACCCTGAACCTCCCCAAGGGCAGCGCTTCTCTCTGCGACCCCAGAATCAGTGGCTCAAAGTGTTTTGTTGGGTGCCCCGTACCCATTTCCTCTGAGTCCCTGATTCACTGCACTATGGTCACTTCCATGCTGACTTGTTACACGAGGAAGCTGACTGCAGCCGCGCCTCCACGTCAGGGTTACTGCCAAACTATCAACATAAGTTATTTCACTTTCCCTTTCGATTAGTTTGGGTTTGTTTTTGTTTTTTACTTATTTCGAATACGACGGAATAAAGAAGCCTGGAGTTGCTGCATTTGCCACTCCCAACAGGCTGAGTAAGCGGAAGGTGTTTGCACAGTACCGACAGGTACAGGAGTAATTCACTGAACCTTTCTGGTCTCAGTTTGCCTGAAAGCATCTGGGGTGGGACGGAAGGAGAGGACTTGGATCACATGATTTCAAAGGCTCTTCCAGTTCTAGGGTGACGCTGGGTGTTAGTTCACTACTCCAGTCCAGATTTGAATGCCTCTCTGGGTCTACACATATTGTCTAACCATCTCAGGAACACTGCAGGAAGAGAGAGGATACATTTTACTTGAAAGCCTTTTTGCACTCTGATGTCCTGCTACACTTTCTGGAAGGCTCTTGTACAACAAGTTCGATGGAAGAAGACTGGCAAGGATTTCTTTTATTGACCCTATTCTCAATTACTTTCACCAGGGGTAAATTATTTTCAAATCGGAGTCCTCTTAATCTCAAAGCTATTGTGTCTTTGCTCCATCCAACAAAATGCAAGCCTGGTGTGGTTTTCTGAAGGACTCAAAGTCTTTACTGATGGCTACCGGTCAGCTGGCGGTCTCCACTCTCTCATTATAACCAGTGGGTCCTTCAGAGGAGGCTTAACTGATGGCTGCTGGTCACCAGGCAATCTCCACTCTCTCATAGCCAGTGAGTCCTTCAGATGATGCTTTACTGATGGCTGCTGGTCAGCAGGTGATCTCCACTGTCTCATTACAGCCAGTGAATCCTTCAGATGATGCTTTACTGATGGCTGCTCGTCAGTAGGCGATCTCCACTCTCTCATTACAGCCAGTGAGTCCTTCAGATGATGCTTAACTGACGGCTGCTGGTCAGCAGGCGATCTGCACTCTCTCATAGCCAGTGAGTCCTTCAGATGATGCTTTACTGATGGCTGCTGGTCAGCAGGTAATCTGCACTATCCCATTACAGCCAGTGAGTCCTTCAGATGATGCTTTACTGACGGCTGCTGGTCAGCAGGCGATCTCCACTCTCTCATTACAGCCAGTGAGTCCTTCAGATGATTGCTTTCTTCTCAAGTCCACTCTCCAGCCCCTCTTACCCATCCTCCCCCATAATTCTACTGTGGCTTTCTTTTACTAAACCATCAACTGCCTAATAAAATCCTGGTGCCACAGATCAGGCAAGGGGCCACTTTAGAATGGACCTTTAAACGACATTGCTTTCTGCCAGAGCTTCCCAAAGTGGCACTTTGAAACATCCCTCCCTAGTATGAAAGTTTTACAGCCTTTTCTTGTTCTCACTATAATACTTAGACCATAGAGGAGAAGACAAGACTTGCAAAACTCAACGTGTCTTTGTAATACTACTGGGATAATAGTTCAATGATCAGTAGGGGGAAAAGCCAGCAAACAGCGGTCGCTAAATACCAGTTTCCCAAACAGATGAAAAAAGGCAGTCAGAGGAGGAGAGGAGGTTGAATTTTAGATGAAAAACCCAAGCAAAGGAACTCTGCCATGAAAAACAGGCAAACAGCCGACTCTAATGGAGAATATAAAGCAAGAAAGGTGAATACAATCAGAAAGCTGCCTTTCCTGGCAGAATGTTACACAATTTCTGACTGAGGAACTAAAATTAGCCACAGTCTGTAACAGGGAAATTTCTTACATCACTGTTAGCTCTAGAAAAGCAGCAGCGATGGGGTATTTTGGCTCCATCCGGTCAACCTCCCTCGCCAAGGCTCTGGAGAACCAGACAATGAAAACAATGGAAAGAGCCAGAGGCCAGGCTGAAAAGCCAGGCTCCAGCAAAACCTCCCGTTGACTGCCAGCCTGGCACGGAAAGCCTTTCAAATCCATGCAAATGTCCTGGAGACAGTAATGAAATTTTCATTTCTCTCCGCATGGATCTGCTGTTCTCCGGATTCCTTTGCTTGAGCAAACGCCACTGTTGGCAGAACAGCAAGAAGAGGTCTTTCCAGAATCCCCAGAAAGACCTCAGAAAAGTCTTACTCAACAGATAAACATACGAGTCTATTCTAAAGCTCCAACCCCCTAAAAAAAGAAGAGAAAAAGAAAACCACATGGAGTGCAATGAGGCCTGCAGCAGCAGGATCCAGAAAAAAGTCAGGCGTTTTTAGCCATAACTATGTAAATATAAGCAAAGTGGCTGTTTCACGCTTCAGTTAGCTCTACTGTAAAATTAAGGCATAAACATTCTGCTCTGCCTCCTTTGGTGGGTCCTTGTGAAAATCAAATGAGATCACGGGATGTGGCTGCGTTCTGAATGGGAGAGCCCGTGCAGCAGTCCAGGGCAGAACACAGGGTGGGGGATGAGGACAGGCCTTGGCATTGACTACACATGGGTTCTAGTTGTGCTCCCAGTTGTTCCTGTGTTAGGCACACTGCGTTACCCACGTCAGCCTCAGATCCATATATACACACGCACACACACATATATATATTTTTTGATGACAGGATCTTGCTCTGTCACCCAGGCTGGAGTGCAGTGGTGCAATCAGGCCTCCCTGAAGCCTTGAACTCCTGGGCTCAAGTGATGCTCCTGCCACAGCCTCCCAAGTAGCTGGGACTACAGGCACATGCCACCATACCCAGCTAACGTTTGTTATTTTTTGTAGAAGTGGTGTCTCACTATGTCACCCAGGCTGGTCTCCAATTTCTGGGCTCAAGCGATCCTCCCACCTTGGCCTTCCAGTGCTGGGACTACAGACGTGAACCACTGCGCACGGCCAGATTTGTCACTTTTAAAATGGGCATAATGACGGTGCCCAGGCCGACAGGGTTGCCCTAATTATAATTACACAAGTCAGCTGTACCATACCAGGCGTGGCAGCTCATGCCTGTAACCCCAGCACTTTGGGAGGCCAAGGTGAGCAGACTGCTTGAGCCCAGGAGTTCTAGACCAGCCTGGGCAACATGGCAGAACGCTGTTTCTATTAAAAACAACAACAACAAATAGTCAACTGCACCCAAGTACTGAGTACGGTTCCAAGGGCACAATAAACTTGCAACAAATAGTAGTTCTCGTGATGGCATATTGGCAAGGACCAAATAGGGACTGGCACATATAAGAGTTCAAAATGTGGGCCAGGCACGGTGGCTCACACCTGTAATCCCAGCACTTTGGGAGGCCCAGGCAGGCAACTGCCTGAGGTTAGGAGTTCAAGACCAGTCTGGCCAACATGGTCAACCCTGCCTCTACTAAAAATTTAAAAAAATTAGCCGTGCGTGGGGGTACGCACCTGTAATCCCAGCCACTTGGGAGGCAGGGGAATTGCTTGAACCAGGGAGGTGGAGGTTGCAGTGAGTGGAGATCGTGTCACTGCACTCCAGCTTGGGTGACAAAGTGAGACTCCGTCTCAAAAAAAAAAAAAAAAAAAAGTTCAAAATGCATTCGCTGAATAAATCACTGATAACAAGCTTATCCTGTTTGACAGATTATAACCTTTCTGTAGCCAAGGTTTATTCTCACATTTCACTTATGTTCCTAGCGTAAATGTACACCAGGACCTATGCTAAGTGAAATGAGCCAGTCACAAAACAACAAGCACTCTGATTCCACTCAAACGAGGGACCTAGAATAGCCAGATTCATTGAGATAGAAAATAGGTAAGAGGTTGCCAAGGGCTAGGGTAGACGAGGGAAAGGGGACTTGGTGTTTAATGGGGACAGAGTGTCCGTTTTGCAAGATGAAAAACGTTCTGACGATGGATGTCGGTGACAGCCGCACAACATTCATGCACTTAATGCTACTAAACTGTGCACTTAAAAATGGCTACAATGGTGGTTTTTATGTTAATGTATTTGACCACAATTTTTAAAAGTGAAAAAACAAAAACAAGAAAGTTGGCGTTCAGGGAAAATGAGATTAGGTTTAGTGGCTGATCATTCACAAGCAAGCGGTCCTTTGAGTCAACTCTAATTCCAGTGCTGGTCTGAGCCAGTCTTGGGGGTGGCACCCGCTGGAGGACACCCGTTTGGTAGCGCGTAAAGGGCCCTGGGAAGAATCCCCGAGCTGCTGACCAGAACTGAACTGCAGTTTCCCATCACGGGGCCTCTGCTTTTTATTTTTAATATCTGCAAGCAATAACACTGACTCAGGATTTATATTTCCTAATTAAGATTGATTTTTACAAAATTTATTGGAGGTCATCAGGAAGGGAGGAGAAGATGAAGAAGTAACGCCAGTGAACAAGAGGGGCCGTCCCTTTACTCTGTAAGAATGGAAGAGCCCACGGGATCTGTTCCTCCTCCTGTGACTGGCCAGGCCAACTTCTGTCATTATGCGGCCAAGTCCCTAGGAAATTGGAAATGGGCTCAGTCATTTGGCCTAATTAGAACCTGCACTAGAAAGAAAAAGAAAGAGAAAATATGTGGAAGGGACAAGTAAGCTCTGTGGAATGGAATGGGTCCAGCAGTGAGCTTGGGGTCTGAAGGTTGAGGTCAAGTCCTGGCTCCAACACTTCTGACTGCACGACCTTCAATTCAGCAAGCCCCTTCCCGTCCAGAAATGAAGGAACGGGAAGAGACTGTCGCTAAGGTCCTATCCAGCCTGCTCAAATTGAGAATCCATTAAAACACTGTGCCAAGTTTCTGACAACTTGGGCAAATAAATTAGACTCTGATGAACTGCTGCCCCAGAGAAATCTTATCTGTTAACCATACATAAAAATGTTATGGGAGGCCGGGCACCATGGTTCACATCTGTAATCCCAGCACTTTGGGAGGCCAAGGTGGTTGGATCACCAGAGGTCAGGAGTTCAAGACAGACCTGGCCAACATGGTAAAACCTGGTCTCTACTGAAAATACAAAACTTAGCTGACATGGCAGTGCGCCCCTGTAATCCCAGCTACGTAGGAGGCTGAGGCAAGAGAATCACTTGAACCCAGAAGACAGAGGTTGCTGTGAGCTGAGATTATCCCACTGCACTCCATTCTAGGCAACAGAGCAAGACTCTGTCTCAAGAAAAAAAACAAACAAACATTATGGGCGACTTAGTAAAGAAATGTGATTCTGATCCTGTCCTCTAACTGGGAACGAGTGTCGAAGAAGATGTTGATCAAGAAATTAAAGCATGAAAAATTCCAAGAAGAACAACTCCTAGGACAGAGGAGAGACGCTCCATGGGGTGCTGAGAGAGGAGACCCTAGACCAGAGGACTGCGCGGCCGGTTCCCACGCACCCTGGAGCCTCCTCCTGCCGCTCACCTGCGTAGGAAGACACGGGGGAGATCTGCAGAGGGTAGAGCTCGCTCATGCTGACTGGCTGCTCGTCGCTCTCAGTGGTCACCTCTACAACTTGGCAAATGTCCGGCGGATTGGTGACAATCTCTTGATCCTCGATGTTGCTGTCCAGATGGGACTGTCCTACGACTTCAGAGAAGAAAAGAGTCATCATGCCAAGTCTCCTGACCTAAGAATTCTAGCACACGTTCTCAAGAAGGAAGGCCTTTCCCAGCAGAGCCAGATCGCCAGGCTCCCTTCACCACCTGTCCCCTGCCATGGGGCTGAAGAACAAGCCTGAGTTCTGTAGCTCTGCGGTGATGTCTCCAGGGAGGAGCAGGCCAACACCTGGCTCCCCAGGTCTGTCTCCAGCATGCCTGCCAATGGCACGCACAGGTGGCCATGTCCTATCCAGCTCAGCAGAATTCCACACTCAACCCTGTGACAGCCAAGGCCTCAGGACCAGAGGCAGCATCCAGCCCCAGCCCCAGGGCACACATAACAGGACTCTGAACCTGACCGATTTCTGCTCCCTGCTTTTGCTCGAAAAGAAGGTGCTGTGCTTATTTTCTGGGTTCTATGATCCAGAGAGACATTATCAAGCTTTACTAAGGAGGAAGGACCATGAAAATCCACCCAACTGTGTCGCATCTACCTGTGGGGAGCTCTGCTCACACTCCCAGCTCTCTTCCGGCCCTGCAGGCAACATGTCCAGCTGGGACATCTCAGCACAATGGGATAGAGTCAGCTGTCCAATTCCAGCAAACATCAGCAGCATCAGCTCCCAGAACACTGATAAGATGGAATCTGACCACCCTGGCTCTGAAACCTGCCTCAATTTGTTTTATTATATTATTTATTTCGAGATCGCTGTAAACTCACATACAGTTGTAAGAAGTAATACAGGGATACCGTGTGCCTCTTGCTCATTTTCTTCCAATGGTTATATCTTGCAAAGCTAGAATACAGTATCACAACCAGGGTATTGACATCAATAACAATCCACCCATCTTATTCCGATTTCCTCAGTTTCAGTTGCACTCTTTTGTGGCAGTGTGTGCCTGCACTGGGACTAAGTACAATTTTATCACAAATGAAGTTTCCTGTACCTACCACTACTGTCAGTACCACACAGTTCCATCACCACCAATCTCTCTCACGTCACTCTTTGGAACCATAGCCACCTTCCTTCAGTGCCTATCCATCTCTTTGTCCATAACCCCTGGGCAACTATTAATCTGTTTCCTATTTCTATAACTTGTTAATTTCAAGGATGTCACATTAATGGACTCATACAGTAACCCTTAGGGGTTGGCTTTTTTTTTTTTTTTTTT